TTAAAGACTTAAAGAGCACGTATCGTGCTTGTTGGGTATTTCCCTTTGCTCTAATGTGTTCTAACTGTTTTGTGCACCTAAAAGGTCTGAACACATACAAAGCTCAAAGTCTACGAATTATTCTGTCCAAAAGAAAACTCAGCACCTTACTTGCCTGTAGCACCTTGTTCGTAGTGTCCTTTTGGTAAATATGTCACAATTAAACACATTATGCACACCAGCTAGTGTCACCTGTCCTCCAAAAAAGCCCACCATATTTCCTCACTGGAGTTGCTTCTCCAGGGCTACATCTCTCTGCCTGAACTCATAGATCTGGGGTTCATACATAACCAACACTACCTCGCTTTCATGGAGCCAGCTCGCCAATCAGGCGGAGCTAAAACTAAGCATTTCAGACAGTGAGAACAGGTGCTGAAGAAAATGATGTGTTCATTGACCATTAAAGCATCTTAGTCATTTTCTTATAGACCCCCAAAATATAGTTAGAAACCTGTAAATGTGCACAATGTTGGCTCTTTAAATCCAGGCGTGATGTAATTATAAGAAAAGAAAATCCTTTGAAGCAGTCTGACACCGTGGCCCTCTCTCTGTTGGAAAATTGGCACAATTAGAAGTATTCCAAATGAGCAATTCCAGTAGTTAAAGATATGAACCACTGGATTTCTTTGATACCGAAGGAAAGTTAAAATCAACATAATCTGGTGGCGACTTCTGGAGTTACGTGGAGCATTTGCGGTCAGGAATTGGACATTTATCCTCATCGGGGATAATTATATTCTCAGATAGAATAAGCCACATTTAACAACATGTGTTTAGTCTCAGTTTTTAGATTTCTCTGTTCTGTTTTGAATCATGAACTCACAGTGCAGCCTCTCCGTCACCACTGTGAGTCGTTTCATTTACACTATTAACATTGTAAAGGAAGCGACAGTCCTCATGTAGTTAGCTCCTACTCCAGCTTCTATTGTTGCACATTTTTTTTTCTGAAGGCTGTGCTTTAAGAAAGGATGATATTCTGTTGACTAGTTCACCTGAAGGTAACGACAGCTTCTCAAGAGCCCCGACTGAGCAAACACAGACGGACTCCTGACTGAATCCCAGCAAGAGACGGCAAAAGGCTGTCTAAAAAGACACGGCAACACGCTGTCACTCTGCATTCAATCCTTCAATCGATTCCAGACAGCTTAACTTTTCACCTCATACGATTTCCTCTCGCCCGTGGCGGCACCGGACCTGAATGGCAATTATGGTTATGAAGATGCATCTCTTTTTTTGGGAAAGCCATGTTTTTTTACCTCGAGTGAACTCCCGTGGCCAGAGGCAGCCGGGGGGATTTTACGTCACACTGAAGGTCAGGTTCTTTCGAGGCGGGGCGGGGCGGGGAGGGAAGGGTGTTGAGCTTAGTCAGTGAAAAGAATCAATATTAGCTCTCAGTTGTGCAATTACTCATCATAGGTCACTCGGGAGGAGATATTATTAGGAGATGCTTAGAGTTTTATCATTCCTTAGACAATGCTGATGAGACCACCCTCATTCATCCAATAAAGAACAGTCAAACGAAGCAACAATGAAAAGTACAGTAAGTAAATAGCGAAGTGCCATCCCAAGGAAGCGATTATGCCCCATTGGAGCCGCTAATCTAAATTAAATCTCCCTATAATGAATGAAGCCACCATTGCCTCCCTCACAATTCTGACTGGAGATTATAAATGTGCCTGTTGTTGTGGATATGATTGATGTGCATGATGAGTCCGCCGCTTTGTGTGTGTGTGTGCTTTCTACGTACAGTTTGTGTAATAGCGCCACGCATTAATTTGCATACGTGTCTTGTTTCCTCAGCTGGGGGACTATATATCAGACATAGCCAGCAACATGATGCTGGTGGAGGAGCACATCTTGTGGATGGCGCAGAACGAGGCCAGGGCGTGCACTCGGATCGTCCAGTGCGTGGAGCGCATCGCTGACCTGGCGCTGACCGGAGACAATCAGGTCATTTCTAAGGTATGGCTGAACTACTAAACAGTGACACCCACACTTAAGGCCACCCTCAGTCAGGGCAAAGGTTGATTATCTCACTAAATGTCCCGTAGCTTTACCTTTTTTCTTGAGGCTTGGAATAATGAGAAGTTAATTTGGCTCCGGCAGATAGCTAGAATAAAGCGAGAGAGAGATAAATTGCTTCCTCTCTTTGTTTCCTCTTACTTCTGTCTGTTTTTTTTTCTCTTTCCCTGCTGTCACTGCTGATAAAAGCACCTGCTAAATGACTAATATAAAAATGTCTGCTCTCCCTTCTCTCCCACCGCCCGACAACTCTTATCTCTCTCCACCCCCCACTCCTAAATCTGGGGGTACCCGCCTCAGGTGTCTGCTAACATAGCTCTGGAGGCCTTTCTCATCCGGCCGTCGAACTTCCTCGGTTTGTCCTGCACGGCGCTCCAACGGCCGCCCTCGTCCGCCGCCTCCCCCCTCCTCCCCCACGGCCACTCTCACACCGACAGGGACGCAAGCAGAGATCACGATGGCTTGGGGGAAACGCTGCTCAACTTCAAATGCCACACTGTCAACAGCAGCGGCTCGCCGGCCAGTCAGCTCAGCAAGGTAAGGCACAAGTTAATAAATGGTGTGAAACTTTCCTAAAATGTGCCATTCCATTTATTTGCTCGACTCTGTTGGCAAATTCCACAGAATCCAGCCCGAGGTCAGGAAGCGATGTTCTTTGAGTATTTCTCTTCTCACTCCCAGCGGGTTTTTTTTTTTTTTTTTTTTAAAGGCCATTCACTTTTGTATTTTTTTTGACATTCTGTTCAAATGCAGCCGTGAGAGAAGGAGGAGAGGAGATGTTCTAACAGAGGAGAGAGAAAGAAATAGAATACGAGAACAGAAGTACAGCTTGTACACTCGCTCGTGGGCACAATAAAATGAATTCTCCAACGCGGCGCACTTGAAGCATGTGAGAAGGATTACCACCTGCCCTTAAGTCTGTTGTTGCTGATTTGTCCCGGCAAGCTGACACCTTGTTTGGGTTTTGTTGGTGTGCTATAGATCAGCTGGTGATAGGTGTGGTTGTATTGGGGGGCAGGGCCTGCAAATAAGGCGGTAATTTGGTAGTCGGCGAATGCGGACCACTCCCCAGTGATGGATACGATGGCCTTGTGTAGCTGTCGCTTTAAATCAGCTGAAGCCCCGCAATGGCTCCAGTTGTAGCCGTCCCAAATGACAAATAGATGAGGGGCACTCTGCATCTGCAGACAGCAGCCAAAACACTTAACTCCCCTGGCATCGAGGTGGCAACGGCTCTGCAGCATCTGAACAGTTTGCGCCCTCTAGCCATCCAGTCCACAGATGAATTCATGAGCGCACACGTGGGTAAGCACACTGTCTGTGCATATTAGTGTGTATCAGAGCGCGTGTGTATGTGTTTGTCTTTCAGTCGGCATGATTATTCCATTTCCCTTATCTTCCTCTCTGGTCAGACAGTGTCAGGTCTCTCTGGTTTTGTCAGCAATTACAGCACTCACTTGTAGCTCCGGGCTGTGTGTAGTTTGCATACATGTATATAAATGTACAGTCCTGTGCAAAAGTGTTAGGCGCTAAAAGTAAAGTAAGTGTGGTTTTAAAAAATTATGCCATGAATAGTTTTATTTACCAAATTAACTGCAGGGCTCCGTGGGGACTGTGCCATCTGTTGAGGGACTCCTTGTTCTTCTTGTGACTAAAGAGGATTCTTTTTTATGACTCTGGCTGAAAGTCTGGGTTTGTTGTCCTGCTGCATAATAAATTTGCGATGCCTCCCCGATGGTGTTGCTTAATAAATAAAATCAAGCATCCAAAGTGCTTCTTCTACAGTCGTGTGTGTAGTTCAGGAAGCTGAGCTAAATTAGCTGGGTCATAGAAAGGCCACTATTACGGTTCAAGAGGCTGACAAATTTGTGCAAAATCACCTTTTGATGATTTCCAGATGGACTGACTCAGATGAAAAGGCAAATGTGGAGTAAATATTTGTTGGGCAGCACGTCCAAGTTGTGACAGTTTTTCTTACACACTCAATTAAAAAACAAAATAATATGTAATTTGCCAATTAGACATTCCCAGGCACTGTGTGTCCTTGAGCAGCATGCTGCACTTAAGCATGAAACTTCCCGTACAATCAATTTGGCTATTAACGAGCTGTAAATACAGAGGATGTGTAAACGTGTGTCGAATGTTAAAGCTTCTGTTGCTGCGTCATCACACCTCAGAGGTTTGTCAACAAGTAATGGTGATATGTTTCTGACTCATGATCAACAATTTTGTTAAGTAAAGATCGTGTATTATTTTGTATTTTTCTGTTAAATACAGTAATTCCACTGTGTTGCTCAGCCCTCGAGGACTATATGTGTTATTTACCCGGACACAGCGTGGATACCCTCCAGGATTACGACATCCACACACAAAAAAAATATGAGATCAGTGTTTAAAAAAAAAAGGAAAAAAAACCCAATGTCATTCGACCGTAGAGAATCTCAGCGACCTACAAGCTGTCAAATAACAAAAAAAACATGATTTATCCTGAAACAGAAAGGCATCTGCTGTTGAAGTCAATACAAACCATGTAAAATCAGACATCGTATTGGATTGGACTTCTTGCTGGTGCTGGAGTGCTCAATACTGCCACTGATGATTGGAATGAAATATATATAAATAACTCTATACCTGTACATATATTTTAAAACGAATCAGGTTAGGAGAATCAGTGTTTATACAGTGTTAGTGCTCTGATAAACAGTGCTATTTCAGATCTCAACTGTTCAGCTCTGAGGCTTAAAATTTCTCATTTTATTTTTATTTTATTTTTTATTTTATTGCTTATTTTTGCAGTTGCAGATTTTGTTTTTTAAAGTAATTGCACTGCCTAGCAGCTAATTTACATCTGTTGTCCCTGAACAGGTAGACAAGAAAACAACCACAGAAAAAACACAATGCGTAAAAGTCCATCAGTGTGAGATAATAAAAACAACCGGTGGCTGAATGAGTCTTATTTCCTCTGCCATTGTCTCCAACGTACGAATCAGTCACACTGTCATTTAGCTCAATTGTAAATATGGATTGCAACAAAAAAAAAAAACAGAAATGTTTTCAAGCCCCTAGCTTCAACTTTTATCTAAAATAAATCTAGTCAGTGTTCATCTTCAGGGGCAGCATAGTGCTACAAAGATAAACCAACTATCTATTTAGATTATGTTTGTTAAATGATGATAATGCAGTTAATATGATTGAAGCTGTTCAGGCTGTACCATTAAGGAGGAACCACTTCTTTTTCCTCATACAAAGAGGAAGAGTGAGAATTAAAGAGTGTCTTGACTAAACACACGACAGATCAATAGCTAAAGTAAGGAATTTTTAAGGATCTAATAAACAGTTATGATAGAAGATTGAGGTTTTAAACTCATAATTGCTGCAATTTTAAGCAAAAGATTTGATTTTAACCTCTTAAGACCTGGTGTACACATGCGTGGACGTCACATTTTGGGTTATATTACCACAGCAGTTAGTTTGTTTTTTTTTTTAATTTATATTTTTTTATTCTTATTTTATTTATTTATTGTCAATTTTTATTTTTTTATATATATTTTTATTTTTTGTTATGTTTTATATAGTTTTTTTAAAATATATTTTTATTTTCTTTCTATTTTTCATTTTTAATTCCTCTTTGCTATTTGATCTGATCAAATACCAAAGAGAAATAATTTTTAAAAAAGTGCATATCAAACAAGAGCTCGGGTCTTAAGAGGTTAAACTTGACTTTTTCTAAATTGCATTGGTGAAAGCAGTTAGGTCGTAGAACATGTAGGGAGAGCCCAAGGTGAAGAGTGGCACACAACAAGTTTTGCTTCACTCTATTTGATTCAGTGAGAAAGTTTGTGTCATCGTGCTAAAACCAGCTTATCATCTGCATGGAGTCCTGCTTAAATTCCACTGGGTTCCGCTTTACTGTGCCAAGTGAACTTCTCACCCAAGTTGACTACTTTTTACCTGAAGCGATAGTTATTCTTTAGTTCGTGCAACCTGTCAAAGCCGCCTCGATGCTGTCCGCGGTTTCATTCCTCTCAATGTGAGGCAACAGCCGCGCTTGTGTGGCGAGATCGCTAATGACCTATAGTAGAGGTGTTTCATTATGTCGCACGAACGATGAAAATGAGCAGCGTGCAGAATGAATCACCGGCATGAAGCCGTGCTGTGATCTATATGTCACAGGCTTGAGACCGTGTTGGGAGATTATTACTGGCGAGTTGGCATGAAGAAATCATTCTAATAGTGGGGCTGCAGAACATTAGAAGCTAAAGATGCACTGTATCTCCATTAAGTTAATCTTGATATAACAAGGCACCCTGGCTAAGAGCACATAAATGAAGTACCCAATTCATAGCAGTGGGGAGGAAAGTGCTCGCAAGTGGAGAGAGACGCATTTTCATTTTCAGTCGAAAGGTGCATTACTCGAATCTTGCTAGAGTACGGCTAAAACGGTATGCGACATATAAATATTTTTTATTACCCAATAATCGCGCTGAGATTTTTCGTTGTTCATTTGCATTTTGTATTCAGGAGGTGTTTCCCGTTTTTGGTGGCAGCCTTAATATATTTGGGTGATTCTGGGTGAAGAAAAAAAAAAAAAAAAGAAAGCTCTGAAAAGGTCAGGGTTTGGGTGTGAGATGTAGAAGTGTAATACTATTTCCACCTCGCCGAACGTGCAGAATGAATAAAAATTTGTCCTCCCCGGGCGATTCACACTCTCACACCTATGAGATGCCGGGTTCCCACAGTTCCTGCTCCTCTTCGACACTTGTGGACTGAGGAGCAGCACCCCGCTCGAGAGCACTTTACTGGTAATTGTAGAGGGAGACGAAAGTGACTTCATCAGCCTATAAAAGGACTCTATTTGAGCTATCAGCACCCTTCTATGAGCCCACAACGGCGTCTTTTCTCTCTCTTCCCTTCTCTGTCTGTACCTTTCATGAGACATGTGGGAAAGACTTGACCGCTTACTGCTAACCTGGAACAGTTTCATAGCTCCCAGTACTTCAGCACACACTTAAGAAACCGGTGTCACACCAACGCAAAGACGAGCACACGCCCTCAAAGCTCCAGCTTAGTTTAGTTTGAGGAAGTTATTTAACTGTTCGTGTTTTTGTCTAGACATACGCATTTATTTTGTTTTCTACTAAATGCAAAAATGGCTTTTAGTTTGCTTAGATTTATGTGATTCCTTGGTTTTATTGCGCCGAACCACTGGGCAGGAGATGAATACATTTGTTTTACTTTCTGTTTCTTCAGTATTTCGCAGTGCCCCTGACATGACCTGAAATTTGTTACCGAAAAAAGGTGCTCGTCTAAGACTTTAATGAAGGAGTAGCTCTGCGGGCCACTCATTCAGCTCTGAGTCCACATATGGTGGAGTATGTGACGTCTGTTGAAAAGGTTGAGTCTTTTTGCAGCTATGTTCAGAGAGGGCATTTTAATCAGGAAAGAAAAACTACAGAGTTATTCAATAACCGTATGAGACGTAGGTGCACAACTGAAAAAGCTGAAAACTGAGGAGTCTGGAGGTGATGCCCTGATGT